GTTTTAAAAGATTTATGGTGTGAGAACAGTCTGGTTGTACCTTACCAGGTTAACCTGTTATTAACAGATATACAGTTTAAATCTATAAAGATGTTATTCAAACGGATTAACCAACATAGCCAGGTAAACTTAGCCTTGACACATCTTTTAGAACAACTTGGTATGGAAGCATTGTGATCATTTCTAATGGGTATGAATCAAACATATATACTTTCAGGTTAGCTCATGTGTGATGTACAGATAGATGTAAAGCATAAATAAATTAATAAATCCTCAAATTTACTATTTAATCAAGTACTAATTTAGGACAGTAGGTATATTAGTTTTTTTTCTTTTCCTTATTGTAAACTGTTCAAAGTTTTCTAAATAACATTAGCATGAGTTTTAGGATTTTTTTTTTTTTTGCAAACATTTCTTACTCCTGCAAATGTTTTTATATAGCACATACAGGGTGTATCAGAAAAAAATTATACTCTCAGAAAAATCGCCATAAAATTAACGTAGATAATAATTTTGAAAATGTGGGCATAACCTGTGGTACAGGGGATCATTCTGCTTCTAATGACACCAAAATCTTAGTTAACGCTCCAGTGAGCAGGGACAGTTGGAAATTCACAAAATTCATGTTCTTTGCGCAAGGAAATATGAGGGTTAAAATACGATCTGTCACATAAAATTTAAAGTTTAAATGGTATTTAACACGCATGCCAAGGTGTTTTTAAAAATATTAACCCTTTCATGTCCTAACGCCAAAACAAAAATATCTCATTTTTGAATGGATCATAACCAAGGGTTAACAAAAACATGTGAAGTGGCCGTGGACAAGTCAGTTCAGTTTCAGTTCAGTTTATTTATATATCGCCAAGTCGCAACACACGCTGTCTCAGGGCACTGTACATGAATAAAAGAACAGTCTAAAGAAGAAGCCAGCAGATTGTGTTGAATCACTTCATCACAGTCTCCCGTCCTGAGCAAATGGTGGAGAGGAAAAACTCCCCATTAACAGGGAGAAATCTCCAACAGAACCAGGCTCAGGGCAGGCGGCCATCTGCCTCGACCGGCTGGTTTTGAGGGACAGGAAATAGACACAGGTAAACACAGAAGAACTGGTCCAGGACAGCTTTGATGAGCAACTGGTCTGATCCTATTGACCACATGAACACACAATCGTCGTTCACTCCTTCTTTCCAGTGACACTGTTAAGAAAAATGTAATGTTTTTTTCTCCTCAGAGTCTTCATCCAGCACTTATCAAAGTTCTCATTCTGTTTCAGAATCTTCTGTCTGAGAAGGTTCTGACCCTGCTGAGCCGCCCCCACCTCAAACAGAAGCTGTAGTTTCACATTAAAGCATTGCCTCATTGCTTTGACTCGAAGCACTGAAGCTGACTAAACACCAAACACACTACATTACATTCTAACCATAACATCCAAACAAGCTAAATATGATACAGCTCTCTGTGTTCGACTACTCCACCTAGGCTGTATTTTTGAGTGCAGATCCAGTGAGAAACTTGCTGTTTCAGCAACATTTAATTTAAAAACTGTACTTTTGAGGTTAAACAAATGTTTGTAATTAATTTAAATAAATTACAAGTTAAAAGGGGTATGGAAATTTCTC